CCCCCCCCCCTTGTCGAGGAATATGTTGCTATCTTCCGTCCTACTGAGCAGAAACATGGTGGCTGAGCGAACAGACATCCGGCTTGCAGCTGTGCTAGGGCCGGGTGAGTCCTTCGTAAGCTGGACTGATTGGGATTAAGATTTTGATAGTCTGGCTGACACAATTACTATGTTGTGAGAGGAAAGGGCTACATTAATATCTTTCATCCAGGGCTATAAAATGCTAGCCTAGTTGTGCACCACTGCTATTGGATCTGGACCGGCAATATTATATCCAGCATGTCATCCCGTCTTCCGGCCGATCTCAACATATTACGGTTAAGCAGCTAACTGACCATATATAATGCAGGAACTGTGTTGTAAACCGCTCCAATATCAAATTTGCAATCACTCTAGGGCTTCGCGCCTGCTTCCGTCATGATTGTAGCGGGCATCCGCTGTAGCCGCCACCGCATATTCTCCGAGTATTGTCCAGAGACACCCGACGCAGGTTTGCTTCAGGACTGCATAATTTACGAGCAGAACCAATACTACTGACATAAGCCACATGCACGGGGGACATGTATGCCATACTCTCCGATATGCCACATTAGAAGTGCTGTGTGAGAGCATTAGTAAGAATCGAGACATTGCATTCATTTTCTGAAATGAGACGAAACTTTCATAGTCATCGAAAGCATGTTCTGTTATAGGACCCTTTTGCCTTGCAATCTTTGTCGATCATATCATGGTCCGTTTCTATAGCAAACAGTCACAGAGGGGAAAAGAAGATTGTCTCGTGCAGGGGCAACTGCAGAAATTACGCCAATGGGCGGCCCATTCCGCCACCGCTGATATCGACGGGACTTCCCCGAGTGGTTAAGAGCGAACTAGAACTGGTAGAAACAGTAAATAGCGGTGGAGAATTCAGGCAACTGATGATGGATATGTTTGCCATGAGTGAAGAACATTAGCAGAAGCCTCGCGGGAACTTACCCTACTTGGTAGTTACCCGGACCAAGATGCCGTGCTAGGCTGATGTTACCAGGCACGGGGCTGTATAGTGTGCTCACCGATTATTCTCTACTCTATAGAGGGGTATCTTAAGTTACATGGGATCAATTCAGGCAATCAACGTTGGAGATGGATTATTGGCCTTAGCTTCTCTCGATGGATTTCTAAATTCCCTCATTTATGCAACTGCAAGCACGACGTCGAGTAGTATCTGGGATATTCCTTAGCATTTGTAATAGTAATAAGGTCAAGGTCTTACTCTGGCATCAAACAACATGCGCACCAAGTAGACTCGACTCAGTGCTATGCCGTGCCCCTCTCTATCACATTGCATTTCTGAATTAGGCTGCTATGAAAGGATTGTCCACGTATATTCTCTCGACTATGAACAGAGAAACAAACACTCTACACAAAGAATCCAATTGCATCCATCTATTTTCATCCTCAGATAAAACACACAGTTCTTCTCTTCTCAAATTCAACTCAATGTACTCCGTACTATCTTTCCCTTCCCCTTCACCATCGATTATACAAACTCACAAAATAATCCCCTCTAAATCCCAAAAACCTCCTTCACCAGCGTCTTCTTATTGACTAACACACCAAAGCAGTCAGTAAATCATCACACCAAGTAAGCATCAAGTAACCCCCTTCGGATCAATCGAAAAGAAAGAAAGAATAAACTCACCCTTCCCCATCGCATTCCTCGGAATCACTCCCTCCAGAACCTTCATTTCCTGCGGCATCTTATACCCCGCCAGGCGATCCTTCAACGCACGACGCATATCCAATGCGCCCCAGGGCTTATCGCCGTTCCGACCGCCTCCACGAGTTCTATATTCAGGTCTGAGGACCACGATCGCAGCGACTTTCTGGCCCCATTGTTCCGAGGGGAGGCCTACCACGGCGGCTTCGGCGATTTGGGGACTACATAGAATAATGTTAGATCAATTGATGTTTGTTGGGAATGGGGCTACTCACAGCGAAAGCAATTCCCTCTCGACTTCCAACGCACTAACCTTCTCTCCACCCGTCTTGATGATATCGACGCTCAGACGGCCCTGGATGAAGTACATAGGGCCCTGGGCCCATTCTCCACTGGTACCGTGGCCGGCGGTGGTGACTTCTCTGCGGACGGCTACGTCGCCGGTTTTGAACCACGGTCCTGACTCGTCAGGGACGAAAGACTCACGCGTGGCTTTTTCGTTGGCCCAGTATTCCTTGAAGATGGTAGGACCGCGGAGCTGGATCTCGCCCTCGCGTTCACGGCCGGTGGCAGCGTCGCGCTCTTCGCCGGGTCTAATGACCTCGTTCGTTTCAGTGTCGACCAGTCGTGCTTCTACGGAGGGTAGAGGCCAGCCGACGCTGCCGTCGACGCGGTCGGCGAAGTCTAGCCCGCAGCTGATGGCCATGCCTACTTCTGTCATGCCGTAGCGTTCGAGGAGGACGTTGCCGTTGCTGAGGTCTGACCAGGCTTGTTTTGTCGGGGTGGGGAGGGCGGCGGAGCCGGAGATGTTGAGGCGGAGGTTTTGGGGGGAGATGGCCTTTCGGGCTGCTTCTTGGGTTGCAGGGGGCAGGTTGGGGAAGGAGGATAGCAGGCGGTTGTAGATTGTGGGGACGGCTGTGAGGAAGGTGATTTTGCTGGGTATGGATGTAGATGTGGAGGATTGGGGGAGGAATGGAGCGGCGAGGCGCGTCCAGACGGCGTCGGTGTTGAAGGGAAACATAAATTCAATGGAGGAGCCGGCGAGGATGGGCGTTACGATGGCGTTTACGGTACCGTGGATGTGGTGCAGAGGGAGGAGGTGGAGGAGGCGGTCTTGCGGCGTGTAGTTCCAGGCTTGGAGGAGAGAGGCGGCTTGGGCTGTTAGGGCGGATTGGGGTATCAGGACGCCTTTCTGGGGTTGGTTAGTTCTGTCTCGGTGCTGAGTAGGGATATGTGGAGGTGTGGGAGGGTCGTACGGGTCTGTTGGTGGTGCCGGATGTATAGAGCATCATCCCGCCGCGCGATTCGATTCCTATATCCTCCAATGATACTGCACCCGTGTTACTTGCGCCCACTTTGATCTTCTCCTTGATGTCCAGGATAGGTTCCCGGTCTAGGCCAGCCTTGAATAGTTCTTGTGCTTTCCCCGCATATTTCTCCGTCGCAACCAGCACCTTGGCCTGGGAATTATCCATGATATACTTCAGTTCGCCGACGGGGAAGGCGGGGGACAGCGGGAGGGCAATGGCATCGCTAGCGAGGATGGAGAGCAGCGTCACTAGTACACTCCGTTAGCAATTGGCATTCCATTGGATCTCATGCATAGGACGGGGTCACAGTACCTACGTAGTCGTAGCTATTCTCAGCCAGAAACGCGACCCTCTCGCCAGACAAGCCATGTTTTCCACCTCCGGCAGATTGTATAAGCCGTTCCTTAGCTTGCAGCACATCTGCAACCAGATTCCCGTATGTGAAAGATCGAGCAGATGCGCTGTGGACAACCGCCAGATTCGATTGATCGTGATCCTGGAGGGCCCGGAAGAGCGGTAGATTCGGCAGGGAGGATGAGATCGATCGACGGGTGATAGATGCCACTAAGGACCGGGAACGACTAGTAGGACCGCGACATCTCCACGCTAGAAGGGTTTGGAGCGAATGTTGACGAGACGGAGAAGCAATTGAGCCCCGGCAGAGGAGCGGCATTAAGGTGCGTCCGGACATGACTGGAGAGAAACTTGAGGACCGTATGACATGACCCAGCTCACGTCAGATAGCTAGAGTTTATAATTGCCTCGTTGCGCAGGTGAACAATGTCAATCAACGGATTGATCGATACCCAAGGCAAAAGATAAAGGCGGATTGCGCGACGGAACTGATGTCATTTGGGAGGAAGCGCATCGGAGCTTTGCGGTCTCGGCAACGGCACTTGCTTTGCTCCGGCTATCGGTGCTTGAGGGACGCATTTGAAGCAGCATGTTAAGGTTAGAATGATGCTGATAGCTTTGCATCGAACCAGTCATATTGGCCGGCGCTTGTCATTCCGGAAGAAAGAATAACACGCCTGGCAGGGTGTTTGTTCATGGCTGAATGCATTGGATGCTGATGAAGCAACGGACAACCCCCGACCTGCGCACCATTCCCAAAGCAGTAACCCGCCCACTCCGTGGCCAATTGCGGTCTCCCGATTCTCATCGCTCAGCATCAAGAATCCCCTCCGTATCTCAAGAAGACTCCAAGACCTCATATCTCTCCCCTTATCTTCAAACGGGACTGCCGCATCCCCCTCAATGCTCCCCCGCACCTCCCTCTCCGGCTTCCTCCCCCGCCGCGTATTCTCCCTTACTGCTACCAGAATGGCCTCCACCTCCGCAACCCCCGTCGAAGATCTCATCCGGGAGAAGGTATGGCTCATACACACCTACATTCAAACCATGATTGATACAAATTCAATACTAACACATAATCTTGAAGATCACCACCGGCTTCTCCCCCTCCACCCTCATCATTCGCAACGATTCGCATCTGCACGCACATCATAACGCAATGCGCGGATCGACTTCTAAAGAGACGCATTTCCAGTTCGTCATCCTCAGTACTGGTTGGGATTATGGCTTTCTCTAATCTTTCGTTGTTTACTAGTGTGACGATTACCTCTCCCTCGTTTCAGTCGAAGCCCCAGCCCGCGCGCCATCGTATGGTCTATGGTCTGTTGAAGGAGGAGATGAGTCGCGAGGGTGGGATCCACGCGCTGCAGTTGCGGACAAAGACGCCGGAGGAGGAGCAACGGGAGGAGGAGAGGAAGGCGGCCAAGGCTTGAACAGCATGCATACTTGATACAAGATAAGGATACAGGAAGAAGGGTTGATGTTATTTCTCTCGACTGCGTCTCTGCGATACCCATGAATAAATGCATTATACAGTCGATGGAGTGCGTTCTGCTTCAACGGCGAGGTTTGGTTTATTTGAACGCATACAGTTCGTACATACATAAAGGGATATTATTATTAAGGTAGTCGGATTATTACATGTTCTAGCGCCAAAGGTAGGGGCAACGAAGAGACTCTAATATATACACTGCGATAGCATCAAGCGCATCCTAGCCAACGTGCAGCGACAGTAATTCATCAGGCCGCATACGCCCCCAAGACGCAGAAACTATACACGACCGATCAGTGGATACAGACGAACAGCGACGAGCGATCAAGCAGACATAGGAGACGATTCAGCAGGTGGGTGCTTTTCAACCAAAACACGGCAAAACGACAAAGTGGTATAACAACGGAAGAATCACAGCAAGCGAACGATCCTCGACTGGCTCAGCTTACCGTAAGCGTAGAGAACAGAAGTAGAGCATCGGACGAGATCAAGGTACACAAACGATCAGAGGTCGTTACAGCCCTTGCGTAAACTTGAACGAAAAGCGAACAGAAGCAGGACAAGGTTGAATACCTCGGAGGGTATCTGGAGATATGAAGGGCATTGGCGTGGCGAAGCATTTATATCAGCGCAAGGTCGAGTCATCAGATCAAGCCAAGTATAGCATATTGCCATAAGATTCACGGGCTCTATTTCGAGGACTTGTTGGCTTCCGTGACACCGACAGCAACACCGACGACGATGGCGATGATGAGGACTAAAGATAATTGTCAGCCTGGCCTATTAAGTGGGTACTCACATCGGGGACACTTACTGACGACAAGCAGAGCATACCACTTCCACTTTCTCGCCCGACGAGCGCTGGCGATAGCTTCCGTGATCTGGTTGTTCGCGTTCGAAACGTTCTGCGCAACATTGTCTGCATCCTGGTTGATCTGCTCCACAGCAGGCTCCTGCTGGTGGACAAGCTCCGCCACTTCCTGGTACAGGCGGCCAAGCTCCATCATATCCTGCTCGATCTTGCGAATGGCGGCCGATCGCTCCAAAGCGGCCTGCCTGGCGTCGTTGGCCTGTCTAGTCCGGCTACCAGTAACCTAACCGAAACGTTAGCATGGACTTTCTGAAATCTCTCGAAAGAGCATACCTGGAAGCTCTGCTCCTGGCCCAACAAGACATTGTCAACACCCTGCTCGATCTCCTCGGGGGAAGCTTCGGGGTTGGCGATCTCATAACGTCTGCGAACCTGCTCCCGCAGGCGCTTCTGGAAGTCGGACTGGCATCTCTGGTACTGTTCGATCTCTCGACGGAGGTTCCGGCTAGTGACGTCGATCTGGGTCTGCACACGGCTGTCTCCGGAGCCGGGGGTCTGCTTGACCTTCTTCAGAAGATCGCGGAGGTAACGGAATCCGTTGTTCACTTCATCCTCAATGTAGTCCAGAGTCTGGCGAGCGACCTGGTCCTCCTTTCCGGTACTCGAATCGAGCAAGGCGTTCTGGGCGGCCGCAAGCTGGCCCTCGCGCTTGGCGCGGAGATCCGCAATACCGTCGTTGATCTCTCTGCACTTGTTCAGCAGCGTCGTCGCGTCCGCAGGCTGGTTGTAAGAGCCCATTTCTGATATGCGAACGCATGTTAGGCAATCGTCGGGTCAGGCTGGGAGGGTACTGGACATGGTGCGCTTACCGTAGCTACCGTTGCCCTGCTCCATGGCATTGGCGTCGCTGTAGGGGTTGGCATCTTGCTGGCCATAGGGGTTGTACTGGCCGTAGCCACCCTGGTTTCCACCGTACTAGAAAATCGGCGAGTTAGCAGGCTATTTGACGATGCGCAGGTGGTGAATAATAAGGGGTGGGGTAGCGGAGAGGGTCAAGATAATGACGTTCTGGGTCTCGACATACACTCATGGTGATAATTTATCGCTATCCTGAGAATCTTTTTCAGATCAAATTGTTCGTACAGCCGTCAATTCAGACACTGAGGTCGTGATGCAGCGTGGGTCACTGGTCGCAGCGAGTAATTCCGACAGGTGGACGTAGCTCGGGTTGTACGGGAAACGAGAACGGCTAAGGTGAACCCGCGAAACGGCGATGAATTGCGACTACCGCAAAAGCGAGGATTAAGAGTTTCGTGGGTAGATAGAGTCGAAGACTGCAAAAACAGGTGAAGCGGTAAAAGGTGGAGGAGGGGGATAAGAAGGGAAACGATACGAGTAGCAGGCAGAAAAAAAAAGAAGCAGTGAGGGAATGAGGTGAGAAAGAAAGAATGGGGGAAGGACGAAAGAGTGACGGGTGAGACAAGGCGGCTGAGCCACTGGCGGCTGCAAATCCAAAAGGAAGCGCTCGACGGTTGACTGGCTCTGGCCCGCAGATGGCAAAAATGTCACTCAACAACTCTGGACGACGAAATTCCAATTGCGCCCGGAAGAAAGAGTATAAAGTAAGGAACGACTGGGGGTGGGAAGGGGAAAGAAAGAGGAAAGTGAAGCTGTTTTTCTTTCTTGTCGCTCTGGTCAATCAGGGGTGAAACCCAGCACTGATGGGTTTTTCTCGATATTATTAGTAGGGGGCGTCTAGCTAGAGCACAGACCGACCGGCGATCCTCGAGTCCCCTTTTTCCCACGATGATGATAATCAAAACATTCACCGTCTATGCCCTCTGAAACAGCTCGGTCGGGTCGAAAAAGTGGAATCGGGATGCTGGGCTGAAGGCCCTGGAATGATACTCTGGGTGATCGAGGTAGATAAAGTGCTTGTGATCGTCGGGTTGCACTTGATGCTATACACAGTACTTTTCCTCATCAGACGGTCTCTGCACCGGGGAATCAGGAATAGCCCTGACAAAATCACACCCTTACTTGCGACAATCTTTGCTTTTTATTGCCAAGTTTGATTGTGAAGCTAAGATTTAAGAAAAGAAGATCCCAAGACATAACAAAGGGACTAATCAGCAACTATCTACATTGCGTCTTAAAGCTCTCCACTCAAGTGTGCTGCTCATCGAACAATTGCAACTGCTGTGCGTCCATTATTTCGTCCATCAAAGACGGCCATTGACCCTTAAACACCCAGCACGAGCTTTTCAATTACGTTCCTGAAGCCGTGGAGGGGCAGCCTGCACGTCACTTCTATGTACGTACTCCATAGGATGTGATCTGGAAACCATGATCTGGGCCCTGGCAGGGTAGAGCTTCAACGGTCTCCCCACCTGCCACCCAGCTTTCCATGACTACGCGCCCAATCTACCCCATACACGTCCCCGACACTGTTAACGAAATGAGCAGCGATCAGATTCGCGATGAAATTAAGTGTAATAAAGCTTTTGAGTACAATATGTTAGCTCAATTTCCCCTGACGCCGCTTCCCCACTTCACAATCTCCAGCAACGGCAGAACCATGCCGTCAAGTTTCACCTCACTAACTCTCATGTTAGCATGCATATTGATTCCAACATTTCCATCTTCATTCCAAACAGCTGCTTAGGCCTTCAACACACCAACCAAAGGCATAAGCAACCCAGCTCATCTCATCTCAGCTCAGCATCTTTCACAATGGGATTTCCACAGCAGCTCCACAGCCGCGATCTAGCTTGGCCAGCGTGTGCCTGTCTAACCCACAAGCGAGAGTAAAATTAGCAACAACGAACTCCATTCCCGATGCAGGTGTGTGCAGCCATACTTCGAATCATGCTTCTAGGAAGGAAACGTCGGTGTCTAAATGGCAACGTGCCCACCGCCACACTGATATCAGCGTAGTTTAGCTTGAGCTGAGCCTCAAGTGGGTGGAAAACCAAGACACTGCCCCATTCCCCCGGTCGGGGGCCAGTGAATAAACCTCAGGCAGCCGTTTTACCGCTCCGTCAAGAGGTCACATGCTACCAGGCAGTGAAACTCTCACGTTACTCCATCTTATCCCTCGCATCTGGTCGCGTGGCCCAAATGCTTGATCGCTTTGAAGAACTACACAGGTGGGTTCACGCGACGAACCTTATATCTAATGTATCGCAGCAAGGGATGTTGAACATATATCTAGTACCTACATGAAACAGACATATGCCATATTAAATTAATGGTCTAGATGAACTACTAATAGTAGTAGCAAAGTCGAATGTTCTCCTACTAACCCTCTACAAAATCAACCCTCTTTCAATCGAAGCCAACTGAACCCTCCAACACCAGTCAATGAACATAAGAGTAGTACAAGACATAAACCCTCCTATCATCCTAAGCGACAGCCCAACGGACCTGAAAGTATTAAGTATTACCCAAAGTACAAATGAAACCAGAATACAAAGCCTCACAGACACAAAACAATAAATCATCTACTACCCATCCAACAACCCAGTACTCCGTACAAAGTGCTTGATTCATTAAACATCATAATCCAAGCGCAATCATTACCACAACCATGCCCAAGCCCACAGACCCAATGAACCCCATCCAAACCCTACGGTCTAGAATCCTCCCCATCCACAGAACCCAAGTCCCCCAAACCATGGAACCCGGACGAGTAAGGGTCCATAGCTACCACAGCTATTCTACCTTGCACACACAACAATTTGCAGTCACAAGTTTGCACTGAACCCACTTCACCTATCCAGACATCCGAAAATTCCCCATACTCAAGTAGATAGTAAGCGACCGACTGACTGACTGGCACTCTAGAACCCGGCTTTCCGTTCTATCCCATTTCCTTTTCCGTTCCGTGTGATGATTGAGTCATTGCAGCAGCATGACTGACTAACTACAAAGAAATAACCTACAATTCTTTCATTTCTTGGACTCTTTTTGTGTGGTTATTTCATGTTACTATACAGGTAAAAATTAGCCACCGTTGTGGATGATTACCTATGCTTACAATAAATTCTTGCTTGCTTGCTTGCTTGCTTGCTTGCTTGCTATGCACACTACACAAGTAGACCAGTCAGTCCATTTAGTGCATGAATTTCTGGAGGCTGGAGAATTACCTAACTTCCATTATTCATAACAATTTGTCCACGAGACTAAAAAACTAGCAGATAAGCAAGTTCCACTTGTCCGAGTAGTCTAAATTGGTGTGGTGGGTTGTTCGAGAATAATTTCAGGCACGGGTCGGCTTGGGTTGAGTGGGCACTGCAGGGTCTGCTCTGCTCTGCTTGACGGACGGACGACCTCCGCCGGTGAGTAATACTTTTGTTTGATTTCATACAAGTAGGATCCAACCACAAAATTCAGCCAGGCAACGCCATAAAATTATATTGCTATGCTAATCATGATACTAATAACGAGGGTAAAAAAAAACTATGCATAATCCGTACATCGTATGTACACCCGCCCTTTCACATTCTCATCTGCTCTGCAGGTGCTCTTACGCGGGCCTGCGCGACTTCGCATATATCACGTTCAGCGCGTATACACGAGAACTGCGGGTCAAAATATTATAGTACATTAGAAATAATAGAGGGTATCGAGCGGAGTGAGGGCTTTTCAGTTCTCGTGCTCCTTCTTCTCCTCATAGGCCGGCGGGGCAGGAGCATCCGGATCGTCTGCGTCGAGCGCATTCAGCTGGTCTTCCTGGTCGTTGAGGTGGTGGTACACCAGCCAGAAGATGATACCGGCAACGAACGAAGCGCAAGCCAGACCCACGAACATCCACATGATGGCCGGGTCATAGGCAGCGGGGGTCAGTGCCTCGGCCAGAGCGGAACCAAAGGCGTTGGTGAGCAGGTACATGGACTGCACGAAGGACTTCATCGACGGAGGAGCCTTGGTGTAGGCATACTCCAATCCAGACACCGACGCGAAAATCTCAGACAGACCAATGAAGACATAGGCAGGCGTCTGGATAGCAATGTGCACGTGGTTGCCGGTGGTGGACCCATCAACCTCCGAAGCAGCACATCCGGGGTGCTCGTAGCATGGCCCAGCGGAGTAAATGAGGTGCTGGACAATGGCGGCGTACATCATGGCCAAGGAGGCAACAACGAAACCCAGGGAAATACGGGTAATCGGGCGGAAACGAATGCGCAAGCGACGCAGCAGGGGATAGACAAGGGTCTCCAGGACGGGGATGAAGACAATGATGGAGATAGGATCAAAGTTCTGCATCAAGTCGTTCGGGATTCCGTGACCCTCCATCTGGCCGGCCTGGGTGACAAAGTTGCTGGAGAATTGACCGTAAACGACCCAGTAGATCGGGTAGAAACAGAACACACGGCAAGCAACCAGCGCACGCTTGAGCTCGTCGATGAAGTGGTCGTCCCAGGGCACGTTGGTCCTGGTACCGTTGTTGGCCGCCTGCCAGCTGGGCTTGGGAGCATCCATGTTGCGGTTGACAATCATGATCCACAGCGCCTTGAAGGCGTCGGTGATAATGGAGCCCTGGGGAGGGCGAACGACGTAGTACTTGCGGCCGAAGATGAGCACCATGGTACCGACAGCGAACATGCACAGGCAAAGCAGATAACCGGACCAGAAGCCAATGTACTTCTCCATGTAAGGAGTGGCCAACAGAGACAGCGATCCCACGTTGATACAGCCGTAGAAGATCATGTAAATGCGCTGAATCGTAAGGGAAGGGTCAATGACAACACGCTCGCCCTTCTTGGTGGTGGACATGGCCATCTTCTTGCGCTTGTACTGGTCGGCAATCAGAGGAGCAACGTTACTCTTGATACCGCCAGTTCCCAGACCAATGATCAGGATAGACACAATGAAGCCACCAACACCGGCTCCATGGTGAAGAGCCGTCGGGATGGACGTGCAAACCAGGATGAGGAGTCCGACCAAGTAAATGATACAGAAAACCACGATGGTCTTGTATTTACCGAGGTACTGATCAGCGACGATGGCACCGATGATGGGGGTAACTTTGAGCAAATGTCAGTCCATGATCCCAAGCATTTTATGCAGTAGTGAACGAACCATAACACCAGAACTGGAAGAAAGTGGTGAGACCAGTGGCTCCTTGGTGACCCATGCCTAGGGCACCGCGTCCCTCACTTCCGTCCAGTGGACGATCAACGTAGTTCTGGAACATGCCAGACATTCCGTAGTAGGTGAAACGCTCGCACAGCTCGACAACGGCGACAAGCCATGCGGAGATGGGCAGATGCTCGGCAACATGGCGAAGAGTAGCGACTTCCTCAGCGTTGGGTTCTTCGCCGTCGGGGGTGGGACTGAGGGCCTTTTCGCTGGCCTCGGTGAATGCCGCCTTTTCGTTCACAATAGTTTCGGTGCCGTGGCCCTGTTGTTGCGGCCTGGGATATCAATCAGTATTGGCAGGAGGAGGGAGCGAGATTCGAGTGAGCTGTGATGGAATAGTGACTCACTGAGTCACAGACACGGAAGATGGGCCAGCCCACAGGAGGTGTGAAAAAAAAAAAAAAAAAACAAACGACAAAAGGCAATGGAAACTTACTGAGTGATCTCAGCCTCATGATCTCCAGACATCTTTGCAGGGACCAGGCAGAAAATCCCAGGGGCGAGCGGGAGGACTTGAACGCAGATTTTCCTCTGGAAAGATGGGGAGGCACAAGATACTCGCGAGGGAAACGGTGCACACCTTATATCTCCAGGTGGTGGGAGATATAGAGAGGTAGCCGAAGCGGGACCGTTCCTGGCCCTGGAACCAATGGCCACCAGGAAAGGACCCAGTTTGTGGTCAAGTGAGAATCTGATTCATTATAACCGAGGAATGAGTCCGGGCGCAACCCAGAGCCCGGAGGCAACATTGATATGACAATAATTGACAAGCAGCGTTAAGCATCAGCCGAGATGGCAAAGGCTCTCGGTGATTGGCCCATCGAGCGCAGAGCCCGGCGACATCTTGGGACGCCAAGAAGTCGGAGTTTGCCGGTGAGAGGCCGATTCCTTCCACAAAGTTTCCACTCCCTCGTGGCTTCCCCTCACCAGAATTTCCCATTTTTTCTGCGTCTCTTTTCCCCTGGTCGCATGTCCCATGGTGATGATCGTCGGAGTGCTTCAATCCTCCAAGATCCGTCAATAAGCGAAATCCCTTGCCTTCCATGCAAGCCTCCCAAATCAATGGCATGCGGAACGGCCGCCGCAGCAAAACTCAACCGTTTGTCTGACGCCAAGCAGGACCAGGACTAAATCGTTCGTGCCGTCGGTAGGACCACCACATGCGGAACACGTTAGGTAACAGGAATCATTAAGCTGCTAACTTGCAGATAAGTCTGGCGTGTCTCATTCGTAGTCCGGCGGAGAACGACTCAAACTCCGTTGATGTTCTCGCAGGGCGCAAAGGGGGCGCGCATGGTCGGCACATTGTGTGCAATTTCCCCCGCTCATGCGACAGACGATCAACAGCAGACGGTTGCAACGTCGGGCTTCCCCGCGCCGTGGTTGACTCGATGGCTAACTCTGTATGGAGCGCATGTAGATTGAGACCCATCAGCTCATTGTTCCTTCCCTGATAAACGTAGGATGTAGCGTGTCTTGGCCACAGCGGTGCTTATCTCCCTCAATTCCTGTCGGATGTCCGGTGGGAAAACGTGGCAAGTGAGGCAATTGTGCCATTCGATCAGGATGGGGGAAAGGATGGAATCATGACTGTGAACTGGGAGATTAGTCCATTAGGCTTCCACTGAGACATGCAGTCCAGGATGTAGCAATAGCAAGGTGACAAAGGAAAGGCCTCTGATCCGACAGCTGATGCTCACGGCGCGACAGTACTAGTAGAGACTCGAGAGACATTCCTAATTGGGGGTGGAGTTCATAGCCGACCGGCTCAAGCCGCCCAGAACAGGTCAAAGGCGGAGTTGCCTGGACTGATCATCCGGGCTATCGTATGGAGTAGTGGCATCAGGCAATCTCTGGGGTTGGATTTCTAATGCACTCCCCAGAGTACTTCAACTCTGCAGTTGAAAAAAAGGTGAACAACCTCACTTGTGCCTGGTGAAAGGGGGGGAAATGGCAGGCAGCAGGCAGCAGAGCGCGGAAGGAGCGCGCCCCGTTCAGGTTAAGTATCCTGACCCCCTCCGAAGTCCGACTTCGCTTCCCAACAACCACTGATTCGTCATCCGCTGGCTTTGACCTTTTCCGCCCATATTGACCGATGGACAGCCAACGATATCTCCGGACCTGCTGTGATTGCCCTTGCAGCGTCTCCTTATCTGGCCAATGCCATGCACTAGACTCCAATGACTCAGATGTCCGTCCGACCTGTCGACACAATTAAAGCTTAGTCTAGATGACGTGCTTATCAATCTCGAAGCTGGGGCCGGCAATTGGATGCATTGCAATCACGGCCGGCGAGGAGAAAGGCGATCTTAATATATGTCAAGATCCGTCACCGACTTGGTCAAATGACTCGACACTAAGGAGCACCTGCAGCGGACTCTACAGTCCGGCTCAAAGACAATCAATCATTCTCCGCAGGCGACTGGTTCGCTTCCACGGGCTTGGCTCGAGAAGGAATGGCAGGAGAAATACGCGACTATGGTGATCTTCACGGTGCCTTTGACTCACAGTGAATGAACTGGGAGGGGGATCTTCCGTCCAAGAGGACCTTCGGCTCTTACTTGACCTTGGGAGTCATTCAAATTTACAGTCCAGCACCCCCCGATGCCGCAAGAGCTCGGCCGGGAGCCAAGCCATCTGGATTCGAGGCTCTATCAATCAGCATGTTCGAGATGGTGTGTACGGCAGCTTATTGGGCATCAAACAACGCTTTATTGCTCTTAAGGTAGACGATCATTCTTGTCCCTGCTCCACAACTCCACATATCGGTGCGAAACACGAGACTGTGAGTCAACACCGTCTTTTCGTTTACTAAGTAACTACGAGCAGAGTCATGCATACTTGGAAAAGCGTCTCACTTAAGGGAATAATGACCGAAACGCTATTTATAGCGGGGATATTTCGGCGTTATTCCGTCGCAAGTGAAGTGTTGACCTTGGAACTGCAACAGCTGACCAGGGCGCCACAGCGCAGTCAGCTATCCATTTCTTACATCTATTAAGAAGAGAAGGAGCAGAAGAGAGAAGACATATATGATTGTAAGGGATGGATGGAATATCCCTAGTAGCAAACAAAGTAAAGGCCACCATGGCTTAATAGCCGGAGAAAAGCAGTATGTCCCCGGCTCGGACTCGAACCGAAGCCATGACCCAAGCAAGGATAATGAATGGAATGAGAATAATGGGTATAAGTGAAGCTCTGACCAGTGAACTACAGGGTTTTGCTCCACTATTTACCTACCATGGCTAGCGTGCTACGGACAGAGGATACCTTGTTGAGGCTGCTCACCGAGCAGCTGAGACGGATACTCTGTCCTCAGGGATTGTTTAAGACCTCACATAGTATGGCAAGATTCATTGTATCGCTAGGTAGAAACGATAAAAGGGTAAGGAAGCCGGCACGGGTCCGAACCATGGCACGACCATGCAAGGATATGTGAAAGGATAAAATGGAAGGTGCTTCTGCAAGCGAGAGCTACGGAAGGCTTCGGGTAAATTACTATGAATGACTCGATAGCTATCCATGGGACAGGAGAAAGAATTTGGTCTGTTCTTATTGGCTGTCGTAGGAAGACTAGATAAGTACTAAGTAGATGTGTGTGTGCACCCGGCAAAAATGAAAAACGAAAAAACAAGTGCCCCCACGCGGGATTGAACCGCGGACCTCTTCATGGCAGTATTGGAATACGAGTGAAGCGCTCTACCACTGAGCTACAAGGGCTGACTTGTTGAAAAACGCCTCCCAACAATAAACTATAATCTACATACCTATGTAATCGATCTCTTAATAAACCAACCTCGTCCAAAAGATATGAAATCATACAATTTAGGCACAACTATGCAGATATTCTTACCAGCACTGGGAATAAATCGAAGCATTACATAGTCCTCAGCAAGACATTTTTCCCACGTGGAAAACGTCTCATTTAGCTTTGTCTATGAACAAAGGAGGTCATCCATTCTCTTCTCTGTCCTTTGTTTCACTCAGATAAAACGATGTTGATCTCACATCGTGACAAGAACTCCTGGGACCTGAAATTGATTACCACCATAATTTCCAGGGCAGCCATCTTCCACATGACTACGATCACTCGTCTCGCTCTCAAAATTCCTCCGTTATGGCAGTAGTAGTAACAGACATTCCCCTCGCCCTCGCCCTACTGGGACCACGGGACGCTCTGAACATAAATATATCTTTGACGACGAAACTACTAGTACGCCGCCAACAACATCATTGTATGGGTACCGTGAAACCCACCAGCCCAGAATAACCTCGCGATATGATAAACATAATACACTGGATTTTTAGACAGGAACGATGATCCCCTTAAGTACTAACGAGGGAGGAGAAATCAACTATAGTAATTTGGAAGATTCACGTATCTACCAATAGCCCCAAAAACATAGCAAATCGGAAAGGAATAGGAGGAAGACCAACGAAACAGACTTCGGGGGAGGGAGCTAGCGGATGATCTAGAAGTGAAGTGACTTACATCCGCGGACGATCATCGATGGCGATATTGATGGCACGTAGCTAGCCAGCTAGCCAGCAAGTTAGCTCTGCGTTGTTAGTAGGTACCAGGCCACATAACATACAAATCGCAAATCTTAATTCCTATATCGTCTGTTACCAGAAAAGTAATTCATGCATTCAAGTACGGAGTGCACGAGATAATCAGCGATACTCCTAAACCTCAGTAGAGCTCCTCATGCCACCCTTTCTAGCACGAGTAGGGCACCTGACGACCTCAACAGTGCCCGTGACCGCAGTTTTTGTGATCATGTTCAAGGAAATGAAAATAGCTGTGTCTTACTTCCACAGGGATTGGAGCTATCATGACAGTCTTATTCGAGTCAAGTATACACTCTCTCGAGATTGAAGTTGTATACATCAGTCATTGAATGCTGACTTATCCAGACCCGATTCCGGCAGAAATGCAACCTGCAGATACCCAGATAGCCAGGAGATAAGATAACCAACGGTTGATAGATAGATAAGCAGGTCCATCAATCTCCGTGCATTCTGTGCTTAATTTATCTAGTCCATGACTTGCATAAGATCTTTTCTAAGATGAGTTAGCAGGTAGATCTAGGATTGGATTTAGGGACATTGGGTTCGTGTTAATTTGCCTTTTGATTAGCGAAGCTTAAACAAGGAAATAATAGTTAAGGTTATTAAATTAAGTTTAGTTGGCAGATCAGTCAAAGTTAATTAATTGGGAATTCAACGTAAATGATGTGGTTTTTTTAGTTGAGAAGGTAGTAAACACTATGCTTGTTCTGCTGAAAGCTGATATTTCATTGCTAGAAAGCCATACCACAATACCAGCTCAAGGATATTACACATCTCAGTACCTTGCGCTAATAGCTCAAGTATTGGGAGACCCTGGCTACTGTTAATCTCCATAGAAATAAAGATACAAGCCTTCTCGTGCCCCGCTTGTTTCTAAGGTGGTCTCATGAATGCATGTATGAACAACTTTTATTATTATAGATAAATATACTCGACTCTAGATACAAGCCGTAGCGCAAGCCATCACTGCTTGCTTCCTCGCTCTAAGGATAACTCATATGCATCATCTATGTCCTGTAACTATATCATGCGTCCTTCACATTTCATGTCCGTATGCTTCATGTATAAAAACCCAAACAAACCGCACACCTCTTCCTGAGGAGGCGGTCCTAAAATGCATGACTAAGTCACCCATTCAGTCCCAGCTTGTAACGCACTAAATCTTATACTTCAAGACCTTTCCAGTCCTCGCCAATCTAGCCGCACAGAGCAGACAAAAGCCGACGAGCATCGAGCACGCCGCGAAGAGCTGCGCATATACATAGCGGCCATTGTCTCTGGTGATCAAGACACCAGCGATAGGTGGACCTGTCAATACAGCGAAACTGACGATAGTCTATACCCAAATTAGTCATGAAGCTCACTCTTTCCCACAGCAACTTGGGAGGACGGAGAACTCACGAAAATCATTCCCATCCTGACACCCGCTTTCTGCAAATCAGTCGTCAAGCTGCTCAACGTAGCGGGAAACATTCCCTGCAAACCATTTCCCACAATACCATAGACCACAGTCCATGCATAGAGCCCCGATATAGAAGTGACACCAATCATGGCAAAAGCGCACATGATGGAGAACAGAGTGACGACAATGAGAATATTCATCGGACCGGTATACCGATCAGCCAGGTAGGCAGGGACCGGACGACCAATGATACCCAGACCATTCAAGATAAGCGTGAAATTAAGCGATTCTTCCTGAGAGATCTTGATGATTGCAACACCAAACGAGCTCAGATAGTAAAAAGCGAAATAAACACCCCAGAAAGTCAAGAAGATGCCGACCGCAAACAAGGTGTATGATGGTTCCTTGAAAGCAGCGAGTTCAATAAGAGGGCCGGTTTTCCGAGGGGGCACTCTCGGTCTGGCTAGAATGTTGCAGATGATTAGACAAGCTAGGGTGAAAAAGCCGAAGACTCGCATTGTCCATCCATAGCCGATCTGTGGGATCAGGTGCTGGAACATGACTGTGAAGATTAGGCCGCCTGTGGCGCTGCCGCATGCGCAGATGCCGACGGCGAGCATTTTGCGTTTCGCGAAGTAGGTGGATGTTACTGACAGCGCTGGACAGAATAGGCATCCGTTGCCGATACCGCAGCAGATTCCTTGGGCGAGGAATACTTGGTAGTATTCTGTTGAGATGGAGGCCATGAACATGCCGAGGACACTGAGAATGGTTCCGACCACTACAGTACAGCCATTAGCATATTTCTTCAATAGCGGGGATTGAAATAATTTGGAAGTTAGAGCACTGAGACGTATCTCTGAAGACTGTGCAAAGTAGACAAGAAAACTCACCAAAAACCGGCCGAAAGTGACCCGCATCTGTAAGCCTCCCAGTAAAAGTACCAATAAAGAAGACAATAAAGACCTGAACGCTTCCAATCCACGAAACATCCGAATCCGAGCGATTGAGAAAATCGACGTAATAAGTCTGGAAGATACCAAACGAATTCATGTAGCCCCTGGCACTTATTTCAGCATACTGTTCACGATTGGCCAGCACAAAATGTAACCACGCTCCTGGAGGTACCAATTGAGCTTTCACATGTGCAAAAGCGAAGCATTGGAACCTACCAGGTATTCATAATGATCAAGTGTCCCACTAGGACCTGTGTCCATGCGAGAGCTCCGCCATCTGGAGGGGGACCAGGATCTTTCCAACTCGCAACGCTTTTTGATTTTGACAAGATCCCCCATTTCTTTTCTTTGATGGTCTCATTGTTTATCGTCTTTTCGTCGAACTCGGTTACTGCATCTGGGTATGCTTCGACCCTGCCATTGTCGGTCATGATGGTGGTGTTGTTGAGTTGTACCGACGAATTGGTCAATTAGAGTAGTATAAAAATGAGAATCGCACGCGGATCGCAAATTAGTTTATTAGTCGGTAGAAAGGTAATTAGACCAAACTGCACCGTACTTGATTAGCATCAAATGTTTCGAGACTGCAGGTCAACGTACCTAGTTATTGCGCATTTCAATGTATATATTAGATTATTGACCGTCACAATTGCATAGTTATAGAAAGACAAAGACATACAGACAAGAGAGAAAATGCTAGTCATAAAGAAAGAAAAAAAATAAAAAAATAAAAATGAGTCAATAATAATGGTCTTAATGCGGCGTGGCGAGGAATATTTCCTCGTAGTCCGGTTTCGGACTAGTCCATGTTACAGGGCGCGGATATGAAAGAATTTCCTGAAGGAGCAAGTCAGCAGAGACGCTTGGATCCGAAGCAAATTGACGGTGAAGTCCTAGACTTGGCTACACTAAGATCGACTAAGATATAGTCTCCAAACACTAAGATAAGTCTAGACACGTCACCGTAATCGGAGTGGGGCATGTATCTGGCTTCCCCGATGTTACTCTACCATCCCAACTCCGTACACTAAGAAACATCTTGCCACGATAAGCACTAACCTGTTGATCGACTATATCAGTGCATTCAAAAATACAGAAAAGGGCTTAATTGAGGGGTAAATTGAACAGGGATCAGGTACCAAGTCTGGATCAACTGATAAGGGAATTGTGCTCTAATAAAATGGGCAAATGCCCTGGTATACCTCCGTAGAAAGGACACCTCTTCTTGCTTCCTGTGAACATAGTTAATCTATTCTCTTCGAAGATATTTCTCTTGACTAGCAAGATGGCCTCACCACAAACCGTCTACCTCGCCGTCAGCCAAGCGCACACCCTCTCCAGCACCCCGGAGACACTCCAGGCTTTGTCACAGCAGTGTCGGCAAGCAGCCAAGCAGACTCCATCCCCCGATCTGATTCTCTTTCCGGAAGCTTACATTGGGGGCTATCCTCGTGGGGCGACCTTTGGAGCCAAGGTGGGATCTCGGGACGATGAAGGCAGAGAACAATACCTGAACTACTTCAAGGATGCGGTGGATCTGGGCGATACTCCTGAAGGAGCGGGGGAGAAGTGGGTGAGGAGGGAATTGGAGGGGCAGGACGGGAGTGGAAGTGGAGTCCGAAGGGGCGATGGAGTCCGCGAGGAGCTGGAACTAGTGGCTCGCGAGACGGGTATCTTCATCGTCACTGGATTGGTCGAGAGGGCTGGAGGTACTCTGTACTGTGCGGTAGTCTATGTGTGTCCCAAGTTGGGAGGTGAGTATCTGCATGTACTTTTTGATGTGGAGTGTGGAAGCTGACACGATGGATTCCTCTACTTAGTGATTGGCAAGCGGAGAAAGGTCATGCCGGTAAGTATTCCTCAGAGAATAGTATCGTTGTATTAGTATGGTATCAGGCTGACCATCACCAGACAGGAAGTGAGCGTCTGGTTTGGGGCCAGGGTCAGCCTTCCTCGCTCCGTGCGGTGACAACCACCATTAAAGGTGTGAAACTCACCTTGGCAGCTGCAATCTGCTGGGAAAACTACATGCCGCTATTGAGACATTCTCTCTACAGCCAGAACGTCAACCTCTATCTGGCACCTACAGCTGATCAGCGCGACGCTTGGGCCCCTCTTATGAGAACCATTGCCTGCGAGGGCAGATGTTTCGTTTTGAGTGCCAACCAATGCCACAGAAAGAAGGACCAGCCTGCCTGGGTTTACGGGGAAAAGTCTGAAAGTGAGGAGTTTGCCACCAGAGGGGGCTCTTGCATCGTAGCCCCGAGCGGAGATATGCTTAAGGGGCCGCTCTGGGAGGAGGTAGACGGCATGATGATGGTGGGGGTGGATTTTGATGATTGTCTGAGATACAGATTGGATTCAGATGCTGCTGGAAGTTATTCGAGGTATGGAACTCTCCTGCTGGATTCTGGTGTGTTGCTTATTGATTGAACAGGAACGACTCGTTTAAGTTGATTGTCAATGGACTTGATATCAGCCCCCCTCTGTAAGTGGTAAGTATGATTCTTAGCTTACATGAGCAATACACGTCTTTGATACTCTGCTTTTTGCACCTAGAATCTACATTAGCAAAACAGAAAAACGTGCAATCCTTTGTAGAAATTTAAAATTCTACAGACCTGACAATGGATGATTCCAAGCTAGTTCTAATGGCCGTATTAAAAATGTGTGCTCCGTAACAAACATCCAACATTAGCTCATGCTCATACTGCATAAAATTGAGTACACTTCTATCCCCAAACATCACCACCGTCTATAACTCCCAACTCTATATACTCAAACCCGCCCAAAACACTATACAACAGTATACGACACCCTACTAACCCCCTTCGACCTTGAAATCTTCTTCACCTCAATCTTCCCCACAAGACTACAATCCGTCACATGCGTCCCACCACAAGGATAACTTCCCAACCCTTCCATCTCAACCACTCTCCCCAGCGTCTCACCCTCAGGCAACGCAAACCCCTCCGCAACATAACACTTCTCCTTCAACTCCTCCATGGACCACCAATGAATCCTAACCGGACTCGCCGACCGCACAAACTCATCCGTCTTCGCCTGAATAAGCTCCTTATGCTTACCCTCCAACGTCCCCTCGAAAGAAACCGACGCCGAACCCGGATAATGCGACGCCTTCGACTCCTTCACCGGGGGAAGCACACCCTCGCGACACAGCGCATGAATCGCCAAACTCATGACGTGTCCAGCGGTATGAAGACGAGAGTGCAGGTTCCGCTTCTCAGCGTCAACGCGCTGCTGGACTTCCTCCCCGGAGTCGAACTGCGTAGTCCCGACCGGGACGAACCGACCCAAGTGAAGGATCTGGTTCCCCTGGGCTGGTTGGCGGACTGACTTCACTTCGAAGATTAAGTCTGCTTTGGGCGCTACGTCCGTGGTCATGGTTCCGGTGTCTGAGGGCTGTCCGCCGCCCTGGACGTGGAAGATCGTGGAGTCAGTGACCACGGCATGCTCTATTTCGGCTGAGTCTTTGGCCAGGGCTTGGTCTGCCTCTGGGAGTTTGGAAACTGGGATGATGGACAGAACTTTGGCGCCGTGGAGCAGCAGCTGTCCGTCTTGTTGGTAGATGAGTTTTGTAGATTCGGCCATCTATTGATTTGTTAGGTTGTTGCCCCGGATTCTGCTTACTAGGGGGTTTTAGACGTACCGTGATTGGGCTAAATCTTTTGATGCTCCGTTGGGTAGTACTGTAGAGTCTTTGGGAGGGCACACGCTGGGATAAAGATAGTCAGAAACGTAGCTGACGGTGCATTTGTAAACGAATAATCAAAAACCTATGTTAGATTCAAAAGATAGGGTGTGGAGTAGTGAGTGGGTGCTGAGCAGCCTATATGTACCTGATAGATGGGGGTGGTCCGAGCTTCTGGCTAATGTAACGACCAGCCCTTGTCACTGTCAGGGCGTATCCACGCTAATGTATGTAAGATTTGTAACAGCTCATTATCGGCTTGGTCACACTTTCATTGTAACCATAAAGAGGCGAAATAGCAAAATACTTGATTTTGTGAAAGCCATAGCAAGAAAAAGTTTCATTAACAAAAATCCCTGAACCAAACAACATCCTTTTTCCATGCTCGTTATCTTCTATAATACTACCCACATGAACACCTAAATCCGCCAAAGCAACTCCTGCCCCTGCTCCCATTGGTCCCGATCCCTGATATACCGCGGATTTTTCGCCACAATGGAGCAAGGCAAGAAACGCGTGTGGTCAATGTCGTAAGTTACGCTTCCACTGACACCATCCAAAGCGGCAACAATAGCGGCGTCACACATGGTATGACACCGATGTCCCCAGCGACCGGCAATCGCCTCGCGAATCCATTTCTGCTCGAGCTGCTGCTTCAGCTCCAGCGTGTCAGTCTCCAGCGTAGCAAGCTCGAGGTGGCGAAGCGCATCCATAATGATAGCAGCGGCCGGAGCCTCGCGAATCTCCAACGCCTTATCATCTGTCGACAGAAACTCGAGCCCGACGAATCGGCCATGACCGAACTTGCCAACCTCCTTGTTCAGGAGTGCAATAGCGTCGATGAGGGGAAGCTCGTCGCCGTTGATAGAGGAGAGGTTGCCGTTCTCGAAGCTGATTGTGAGCTTTTCGGGGGCATAGTCGCCGCTGCGCCGTGTCCATTCGTAGGCTTCTTCAGGGATGTTGAAACCTTCCGGGTCACCTAGCGGACCGTCTTCGAATTCCCGACACCACAGGTTTTCGTCTCCGCTCAGCTTGCGCTCAGCCATGATGGTCAGTCCGGCTGCAGATAGCTCTGAGGCTTTCTTCTCGCGCGAGGTCACGGAGTGGACGTAGGGGCTTCCGAATTTCCCGGAGAAGCCGTAGAGACGAATGCAGTTGTTCAGTCGGGGAAGACTGTTCTGGCTCAGGTTTGCAGTGTGGAGGAGCAAGCCTGCATTCACGGAATTGGCATAGTCTGTGATCAGACGAGCGATGACCGGACGTGTGAGGGAGCTGCTGATGGGGAACATGCGCATGTATGTTGCGTGAGCACGAATGGCTGGCATGACACCATCTTTGACGAACAGCTCGCGACCATCAAGACATTTGAATGATGCGCCGAAGTGCGCAGCGTGTTTGGTAAGACCTTCCTCGTCTACTGGAGCTCCAACATCTACCGCGACAGCGTGGATGTTGGTGTAGCCGAGCTGCTGGAGCTTGAGGAGCAGGTAGGTGCTGTCCAGGCCACCGCTGAACATGGTGACGACGGGGGCATCTTTTCTGTCGAAGTCCGCAAGATGCCCAAAGCTTTCAATGGGTCTTCTTTCTTGTTGGGAACGGACCAGCGCGGCCTGGGCCGTGACGGCGTCAGTGGCACCCCCGTGACCGTTGGATTGTACAGTCATTGTGTTGAGTTATGTGATAAAAGAAGAAGAGGCAAACAGAAAAGAAGAAGGATATCTTGAACGCTGCTACTGATGTTGCATTTCCTAGCTGTTGCTAGAGGTTTATATCATTACCACGATGGGTAATTATACTATCGCAAATGGTACGTACTTCTGTCCAAAACAGCCATCACTCTTACACTTCACATTTAGTCAACCCGTGGCCAATCCCTTTCTCTCTATTAGCCGCATCAGAATACGAGTCTCCTCGACACGACAAGTCCAGATCTTCGCAGATGGCAATCTACAGCAAGCATCTAGGCTTCATCCTCATCTGCAGGCTGCTGTACCATTTCGCTAGCAGATGTAACCCATAATACGGACATTGCCGCCTCTCCAGGTGAATGCCGTTTCATGCTATACAACCATGCTAAATTTGGGGGCCGTTTGGCTGCAGAGAAGTGGAGCTGGGGGATCTAGCCCGTTACTAGCTGCTTCGCAGTCATATTAATATGAGGTATATACAATGCACCGACATCGGGTTCGTCCCGGTACTTACAGGATCGATTTACGTGTTCGGGTTTTTAGCTGCTAAACTACTGTGATAGGGGTTATCAGGCGATGCATGTGATGTGGGGAAAGTAATGCAGGGGGTGAATAGCTTATACATAGCCTCAAAATGGGTTAATTGTTATGTCTTTTCTGGAGAGTAAGCCCTAAACTGCTTTGGGTGAAGTTGATTGTGGCAAGAGTTGTGGGGTAAGACGGTTACAAGCGCGGACTAATCCCGTGCGGTTTCTAGATCGAGTCTGAAGAATTGTATCTTTTACCTGCAGAGTTATTGTTGGTACACTTCATGTCAACTAATTATGCATGCCTTCAGAGGCGTCGGCTCTATGAGCCTATCATTCCTCTAGATAACTAAGCTAGAGGCTTCCTTCCGGGAAAAAGCACCAACTACATGCCACTTTCTACTGCCTCCTGAGTAGATTCACTAGCGCTTTGACCACGGATCTCCGAATCCTTCAAGCCTCTCCTTGTGTAATATCGAAAGGTAATCTCATTTGCCTCCCCGATATCTACCGAATAAGCTCAGATCATTACTTGAGAAGGAAGGCGTTACAGATTTGCCATTAGTAGATCGACAGATCCCGCTAACAATCCTTCACACTCGACAAAAGTACTGTACAGTAGTTATGCTTAGCTGCTTAGTAGTGCTTACGCATAGTAGAGGCTGTATTCGGGTAATAGAAACCAAGTAACCAATCAATCAGTTGATCGATAAATCCTCTGTATACCTAACTAGCATTCGTTTCATGCCTCCAGTCGCTGATGAAGACAGCTTCCTCTTTGAGGAAACATGCCGAGCGAGTCGTCGTCTCATAGTCGCCTCCTGTTTGCCGTGGACCAGATCCTGAAGATGTTTTTTGCGATCTAGAACAGCTAGCAAGGTAGTATCACCACTTTAGCGAACACGAGGATGGAATCGTCTATCCTTTTACGGGTTACATTGGGATGAATCACGCCATCTCAAAGCCGTCTCTGAGATTCTGGCCCCTTAGCCGTCGGTGGAAGTAGGACGGGACTTGAGGAATCTGTATACATCGGAGAATGATACTGTAGATACTTGCCGTGACTGCCACGAGAGGGCCAACTCCAGGGGCATATAAGGAGGTCGAAAGTTGCATGTCTGGCTTCGAAAACAATCCAATTCTTCTTTCTCTCATCCCAGAGACATTCCCATCAAGCGTTTTTTCTTCCTCAAAAGTTCCAAAATGGCCATCACCGAGCCCATTCTCGTTGCGGAGTCTCTCCCAACAATCGACCTTGATCTTCTCCGTGCAGACAATGAGACGGAGAACAAGAGACTCCTCAGCGTTTGCCAGAACTATGGCTTCTTCTATCTCAACATGACCAGCGACCCGGAGCTCTGCCAACTCTGGGAAGACATGCTGTCCATCATGAAGGGGTACTTCGAGCAGCCCCTCGATATCAAGATGCAGGATGCCCGCAACGACGATAACTTC